CTCATTTTTAATCATCAAGACGGTAAAAAATAACGCAAGAAATGCAAAAAGATAAAGGCACATGCACGTACAAGCAAATGATTAATCGCATGCAAACGAACCACACACGCACACACACACAAACATACAAACAAACATACAAACAAATATACAAACATACATAATACAAAATAACAGTGGGAGTTCTCAGTTCGGTCGTCATCCTACATTAATCCAACCCTGTCAACAAACGAATGCTACTTGTTCCGCTTAGCATACTTAGCCGAGCAAATGAATTCTCATACTTATTTTGTTAGTTGTTTGTTTGTGTCACTGTTTATGTATGTGTGTGTGTGTGTGTAAGTATATGTGTGTATCTGGTGTGTGTGTGTGTGCAAGTATATGTGTGTATCTGTACGTGTTTATGTGTGAGTGTGTGTACATGTGAATCTCTGCATGTAGTATATGTGTGTATGTAATAGTGTGTGTTTGGCACGGAGTTCTAGACAATCATATAAAAAATGTGTGTGCGTGTGTGTGTTTGTGTGTGTGTGTGTGTTGTTTGTGTGTACATTTGGTACGTACGTGTGCACACATTCTTGCACGTTTTTGCACGTGTTGATTAAATCAAATATTGCAATCGTTGTTTATTGTGATGCGTGAGTCGTTCATCTTTGAGCTGTTTCAACTGGGGGCGATGATGTTTGCTGGTCGGTGTTGTTCGTGTGAACAAGTTAACGAATGAAATAAGATGAACAGATGAACTAAACAAACAAATGAACGAACAACTGGATGAATAACAACTACTAACCGAATAATAACTACTAACCGAAACCCTAACCAAACAACAACAACTACCACTACTACAATTACTACTGCTACTGCTACCACAACAACAACAACAACTAGACAAACAAATAAGCAAACAAACAAACAAATGAACAAACAAATGAAACGAACCGTTCTTAAATGAATATTAATCACCACGGTATCGCTTCGATGTTCCTCAGTGTGAAAAGCATATAATGTTTGTCGCTTAATATCCGGTCTGTTGTTCAGCAGCCAGATCTTAGCAATCTTTCACCATTGCAATGTATATATGTGCGTGTTTATGTATGTATACTGTACGTATGTGTGTGTGTGTGTGTGTGTGTGTGTGTGTGTGCGTGTACGTATGTGTATATCGTGTGTATCGTATGTGTTTGCATGTAGAATACTTACTCACTTTACTAATAACCAAAACCCTAGCTCAACAACAACAACTACTACATCTACTACCGCTACTACTACCACAACAACAACTACTACTAATTTTTCTACAAAAGCTACCATTCTAGCGACAGTGGCGACAAGAGCCACTCATTTTGAAATGAGACAATAAATCGTCTTGTGATATAACAACGATACGCCAGAAGAGATTAAGACCCCGTCAACCTCAACTCTGACTTAAATGATGACCTCTTCCTAACCTTTCTCTGACCTTACTTTATTAAGGTCATTATATCTAAGGCACACGTGTGTTCCCACTCTGTGCACTCCGAATGTTCTTCCATGTTCACCGCTTGTTTGTTTATTGTTCGCTCACGAACGAACATATGTTCATACAAGCAAACGAAAAATGACCCAAATTAACAACTCCAACAAAATGAACAAGTAACTAAGAAACGAACGAACGAACAACATAAAAACAATTGAATGAACACATGACAAAAGACATACAACAAACAAAAGAAACAATGAATGAACGGACGAACTAACAAACGAACGAACGAACGAACGAATGAATGAATGAACAAATGAAGGAACGGATGCGTAAGCGAGTGAATGAATAAAAAACAGATGGATGGATGTATCAAGTGCACGTGGTGTTAATGAAATATCAGCAACTTTTTATGAAGGAATTATTTAAAAATTGAAATGCCGACGCTGGGTGCTGCTGTTTATTCACTTTTCTCATTTCACTTCAGTTCTTTCGTTCATTCTTTCATTCATTCCTTTTTTGCTCGTTCATTCATTCATTCATTCGTTCATTCATTTATTTATTCATTTTCAAGTATTTAAAAATATTATTAGTTAAAAAAACGCATAAAAATAACACACAAAGTAATAAATTGAGACCACCTAACCATTATAATATGTTACTGATCGACACCAACACATGTGTTTAAAGAATTAATCCAATAGATTTCACTTTAGAACATCGCACAGACACACACATACGAAACACAGACACACACACACACGACACATTCACACACACGGACACACACATAAACATACATAAGAATTGTATTAAAAATTTAACTTGAAATTCAAAATACTTTCAATAAAGTTGTTTTGGTTTGATAAATGCTGTCGGACTCATTTGACACACACTTACAAAACACAAACACGTACAAACGCACACACACGCATACAAAAACACACAAACACCAAATCACACACACACATAAACACAAATACACGTACACACACATACAAACAAACAAATTACAGCTTATTCAAAATTTTTATACACCAT